AAGGAAAAAGTTCGTATTTTACTTTAAACACTTATAACTCGATAAAAAAAAACCGTATAACATCCGATATGCGGCCGTTGAAAAGCTGAGTCCTTATACTACATGACGGTTTCATTCCGATTTTACTACGGGAATTTTTCCATATTGAAAAATCTTTTTTGAATAAGATATTGAATATATCGATTTGTTTGTTTCTCATTCAATTCGATGCTATCAATTCGATTTAGAAACCGCCTGAAGCCTGTCGATTAATACGTTCTTTTTTCTCTTCAAAGTGTCTCAAATGATTGAGTCAAACCTTAATTCGCTGACGCTTTTTCTTTCATATATCTCAAAGACCCAAACATGGGGTAAGATATGAGAGAGGTCCCAAATTACCATTCTCTCGTGCGAACACCCAAAATTGCTTCTTGAGAACTTCTGCGGACTCTCACATGATGCTCATGTGTTTCTATGAGAACGTAAACATTTAATACTTCAAAAGATCTTGCAGAATCAAAGATTTTGCAGAAACTAAAGTTGTATAACGCAGTTATTCGTCCAAAAATAAAAAAAAAACAACTGGAAGAATTTTTCGTAAATCAATAGGATTGAGCTTATAACATCGTTCTTAAGAAAAATCATTAGAAAATACCGCTGACAGTAGCACTACCCAATGCGTGCGTCTGTATTGCAATATATTAAAGCACATTCCATGTATCTATTTCTTTTTTATAAAATATTTTCAAAATGTTGACTGTTTATATTTGCATAAAATGACAGGAATATCGCGTGAAAGCCCACAAAGTTCCTGAAAAACGAGTTTGGGCGTTCGTATGAGAAAGATGATTTTGAGCCTTTCCCGGGTCTTATAGCATGTTGGGTCCTTGAGACATAAGAAAGGAAAAGTGCCAACGAATTAGAGTTGGGCACGATCGTTAGAGACACTTTAAAGAGAAAAAAGATACATAGAATCGAATGGGCTGAAGCAGTTTCCCAACCGTAGCATCGAATTGAATAAAAAACAGACAAATTGAGATTTTTAATACCTTATTCAAAAGGCTTTTTCAATATGAAAAGAAACCGAAGTAAAATCAGAATAAAACCGTCATGTAGCGTAAGGATTTAATTTTCCAACAGCCGGACACTGGGTGTTATATGGTTTTCTTTGTCGAATTATAAACGTTTAAAGTCAAACGCGCGTTTTTCCTTTAATCGTCATAACTCGGTCGAAAACAAATCGTACAGGATTCTTAAAAGGTAAAATTGTAAGAAACTGTGTGCTCTTGTAGACTATGGAGTTCGTTTTTCGAAAACAAAAATCGATCTGAATACAGGCTTCTTCCGATTGTTGGTTAAAAATTAGCTGTTTACGTTTATCATAATTTAACGTTGAATAATGCAGTAAAAAAATGAGATATCTCAATTTTTCATGAGAAACTTGAAGCTTCAAAACCACTTTTTTATTCTTTTTTCACGACATTTTTCGGCTACAACTTGTTGCCCGCCGATTAATACCAAATTTAGAAATATAAAGGGGCTACTCGCGGCCACTTTGACTATTGTTAGAGCCGCTCGACCTTCCGGTGGAAACTTTTCCGCGGAGATCCCGTCCTTTTCCTAGGATTTCCCCACCGATACTTGGGACTCACCAGGTCCGCTTGACTCGGGGGAGACCGCTCGGCGCCCCGAGCCCGGTCGGAGTCCCGACTGGGATAATCAGGGAGAACAATCGGGGCGGGCGAAATTTCCCAATCCCTGCGCATGACAACATGATATAAAAATGTAATGATTCTTAACACTTTACCGATCGGAAGCCTATCAATCGGTTTTGCGATACCCGAGATCGCTATTTACTTCCAAATTCGGTCGGTAAAGTGTTAACAATCAGTTTTGATATGAGAACTGGTACTCGGAGTATAAGCAATATTTCGCAACTTTCAAGATTGTTTTCTAAATAATTAAATAAATAAATCAAAAGATTCATTCTAAATGACAATTTTTCGTAAATGGGTATTTTTATTTACAAACATTAATTAAAGGGAGGAATACGTTTTACAACTCATTTCTATTACTAACGAAATTTCTAGTGTGAAATTCTATTCAGGTCGGACATAGATATTAAGTGTACTTATTGTTTCATATTATCTATACTATTATATAAAGTCGAAAACCTTTTTTGTACATGCGCGAATATTTCAAAATCTGCTGGGTTGATTTTGATCAAATTTTTACGGAGATTTTCCTTCTAATTTTGCGAAGTATACAGGCTTGATTTTTTGTTTTATCGCATCGGGAAATGTTATGATAAACAAAAATGTCAATCACGTCATCTTCGTCGTTGTGATGGGGAGCATCTCATTGAACCCGCGTTGACTTAGCAGTGTGGTTGCAGGAATGGGATAAAAAGAAAAAATTATTGTTTAGTACCTGTATAATCGAAATTATAAAAAGATATGAAACGGGCTCGAGCAACATCAGGCTGACATCAAGTTTTTTCATATAACCAGCAAATTGATTTAACTGAAATATATAACAAATATTTTTTTATAAATACATTTATTTGATTTTAATATATAAAATGATTTATTTACAATTACAAAATTGGTTTAATTATAAAAGTAGTGTTTCGTATAAACGCAAAATTATATAATTGAAAAAATCGATTTTTAACAAAGTGAATCGAAAAAAACGTGCTTGTGATATATTCAATGCTAAAAGTCCATTTGTGAAGCCGTCAGATGACAGCGCGCTTGGTCAGAATCATTAGTGAGCAGATTCAGCTTTGGTCAAACGCGACCAGCCACGGCGAGGGGACGAGCAACAGAATTTCTGTACGTGGACATGTGTCCTTTGTGTGCGACCATCGCACACATCCCTGTAGAAAATACGCTTATCTCTGACATTACATACTCATGTAAACATTCATGCACACAAGGGTTCAGTATCCAAATGTTTCCTACGACGACGGTAGATGAAAGAGAGGCGCCACCTACACTGTATTCTTCATTCTATTTTAAAATTGTAGTGGTTTGTGATTTTAAACAGAGATCATCTCTGTTTTAAATTAATTTTTCATTCTCTTAAGTTATGTGTATTGATAAATGAAATGTACATGTGGCAGAAGTAATCTTTAAAACAAGTTTCTTACCAATTAAACTAATTATAACAACATTTATTGACATATTTTGGTATATTCATTAATTTATTTCTTCAATATAATATTCTTACAAAATTGGCATATTTTTATGTATTAACACTATAGGAGGTGTTTTAATTAATATTACAGTATGATTTCTTTTTATATTTAATATCCGTTGTCTTTTTTACCGACATCAATTGACGCTGAGACTGAAAACGAACTGTAGGTAAACGTGGTAGCTTCATTCTGTCGGTATCGTGATCTATTTTGAATCTGCTAACACGTGTTTCTTTACCGATACAGAAAATTTCGCCCCTTTGAAGATGTTGCCATCGATTTTCCGTCGGTTTGGCGCTGAAAGCAGTAGGCTTTGCAGAAACTCGGCTGCCTCAATTCTGATAGGGGCGTGAGACGTAACCATCTCTGCCGTGAGCAATCTCCCAACTCATCTCTGTAACAGAGAGATGATGGTAAAAACCAACTACTGATCTAGGGGACTATTACGTAAAGCAAATTGAGCGAACATGTGAAAAATGAGTAGCTCACGGTATTACGGAATGTTTTTGGTGGTGAAAATGTGAAACATTCATATGAACTGGCTCGGCACAAATTTTTAAGCGAAATGGTGATGCATACAAGAAAAAATAGAAAAATAAGCACTGTGAACGCTATCTTCCAACAAGAAAGGAATTACATGTGCCTCAGATCTATTTTCATTAGAAGAAAGAGAATTTACTAGGATGTACAGGTTATTTTTTGTTATTGCGAGATTATATTACATTATTAAACATTGAAAACTGTTAAATAATTCATGCTTACATGACATGATAAGAAAATTATATTGTTGAACTTCTAAATATAGTACATGTAAATATGAATGTAATACATATTTAAAAAATATAGATAGACTCGAGTCCTCTTCTTTACTTTTAACGACTTTCTATCTTCCCGTCTTTTCTGCCTATAACCCACTACCTCTCAACAATTTTCGATTTACAAGGTATATTCCTTTATTTGCAATATTACTAAACCGAAAGTGCTAGTGATCTCGTTATTTCATATAGCGAATACGTAATTCGGCGAATAAACTCACGTGAGATGAAAGTGCGAGAAGTGAGCACTCTCGTCAAAAATACGTAATAAACGCCCTATATACTAACAGAGATCTCATCTCTGATACATTTGGCTGTTTCTGCATACTTGTCGCACAGAGTTCAGTAAGGATTCGTGCGATGAAGATACGGGATGGGTGGCTCTCCGTCATTGTTTTACTCTCATAGAGAATATATCTGCTCTTGTTTAAGCGATGCGTGCGTATCATTTGTACAGTCCGAAAGGAAAGTTCAGTGGAATGGAGGGAAGTGATAGTGCAAACTTTATCGGTAGAACAATAGTTTGACAGAATGTAATATTTCTGTATAGTGAAATCATGCAGTACGTTTCGCATTATTTACCTTTAATTATTGTACTCCGTAATTAATTATCTAAGGATGGTTTTCTACGAAGAAAAAAATGTGTAATAGGACTGTACACCTAGTAGTGGGGATTACTTCAAGGATAGCTCGAGCTGAACCCGTTGGTGAGCGTTCCAGTTTGTTATATACCGCGTCTCTTAATATTTCAGTGGGAGTAACTCATTTCTAGCAAAGATGAGTTGCGCCGCCACTGAAGGGTAACAGGAGGCAAATATGTTAGCCGCCCACACTAATCACTAGAGGGCAGCACAGGACGCGATCGCGCGACCCTGCCCGTGAGGAATTTCTCAACGCATCTCTCCCCAACCCTGCCCTAGTGCTCCCAACACAAATCCTGACGAATATTTGAACTGGCGGCCATATTTTTAAGTTGGTAGTGAAGCATATAGATGCCATACAGAAAATGGCCGGTGGCGTTTATCTTGCGGTGTTACTTGACACGGTGCAGTTTTTGTCATTTTAGTGCGAAGTGACACAGTTACTTCGGATGGTTGTACCAAATTTCGGCGATAGTCATTCACGCCCCGTCGGCTTAAAAGTTTAAACAGTATGTATGAAATTTTCAATGGTAGAAGAACGCTACACTCTACAAAGAAGTCACTTGTTTGAAGGATGTTGCTTTCTTTTTTCCGCTTCATATATTTTTTACTTTGGCAAGAATTAGTCGTAAGAGACCGTTCCCCGAGAATGTACTTCTTTGAATGTTTGGGCGTTATACAATGTGGAATTTAGGACAGTAGCGAATCTCCGTATTCTAAAGTATTCACATGGCATGATACTTCAAAAAAGTTCATTCTGTGTGGGATTTTATTAAATATTACGTTTACTTTAATATAAAAACGGACCGATCGAGAATATAGCTTGTACATGCAATAATAGTTCGTAAAAATTGATTTTGGAGTACTTTGAAGGAGTTTGTTAAATTCAGGTATTAAGCGATAGTGTCAGGAATTTTCATTTAAAATGAAGGCTGTTTGTAATTTGAGCCTTTATCTGTAAATTATTAAATATATATACTAAGATTTGTGATATGATAATAGGAATCACTTACTGGATAAACTGGAGTCTGACAGAAACAACATGGCGAGTCCTTCGCCACAATCATCTCCTATGCCACCACCTCAAGCCCCAAGTCCCATGGGTCCACCTCAGCAAGCCTTATCTCCTTCTAATCCTCAGGGCAGTCCAATGGGTCCTCCGCAACATCATCCTCATAGTCCTACTCAAGGGTATCAAAGTGGCCCGCCTCCGCCTGGTGGGCCTACGATATCTCAGTCTCCGCAGCAGCCACCACCACCGCAGCAATCAAATTATCCTCCTCATCCTCAGCAAATGCCTCCCAATATGGGTCCTCAGGTAAGCAACTTTTAATAAATTTAAGAGTATTATAATTATGAATTGCGTAAATAAATATAATTAACAGTTTTAATGTTGTGTTATTCTCCGTTGCTGTACTGATTCTTCAAAATTCAGTTGAAGTTTATAAATATTAAATTTCCAATATGATATTTGCAGTGTATAGCAAATCCTTTTTTCAAGAAACGTAACTTTTCTAAGTGCTTTAAAATGTGAATAAGAGATGTATGCCTTTCTTTTCAAATCAACAGGATGTATTTATATTTCAGAAATTTTTATAAAGGTAATATACTATAGTCTGTTCCCTCGTGCAATTTATCATAAAGAATTTCCTACTGTCTCGTTAGCTTCGCTTTGAATAACCATATTTCATTGGCCATAGTTTTTTAATATTAATACAAATGTGTTAGGCATTTTATGTGGTTACCATTTTACATTACAATGTAATGTACATAATTTCTTGTTTTATATATTTTAAACAGTAGAATTAAGAAGTTTTAATCATTCTTTTGGTCAAATGCACGCTAAACTAGTTTCTTAGAGCATTTTGAACCTGCTTTGAGTGCTTTGAGTTCATAATTCAAAAAATTAAAGGACCTATTGATTGTAAGGCCATTCATCATTCTACTGTTCTTCTGTAATTAATATTTCTCTGACTATGTTCCGTAAAGTCATAATTTTGAGATACTAGGCATCAGTTACCACATGATAATTATCTTCTTCATTTTTAAAATAAAATATACATTCTGTTACAGCCTGCTATTACGTACTTATTATTTTTATCCAGCGACACTCAGAAATGAATTTGAAAACTCTAACATCATTTTTTCGTCAGTTTACTAGTAATTGTGATAAGTGATTCTTTTTGCGTTTTTAAGGATACTTAGTAAAAGTTCACAAACAAAATTGTATAATGTACATGATGTAGTTGCTTGCAAAAAACTGCAAAAGCCATTTTGTCCATAAAAATACTTGTTAGTATTACATAACTGTTACATAATTTCTTAGTTTGAGATTTTCCTGATATTTGCAGAAGTTGGAGCATAAAGCATTAATAATCTCTAAAAAGCTTGACTTATGTGCCAGTTTGTTCTGGGTATATTTTGGTAAGTCTTCCATTAAGGAAGATGTCAGTTCCTCATTACATACAGAAAAATTGGCATCATGAGGAATTACAGAAGATGCCAATTTGGTTTATGTTATTTATTGGTTGTACCGATGAAATGTATAAATGCAAAAAGCAATGTCAGCATTGTATTAATGAAATATGTGAATGCAAAAAGGAACGTCATGGCACCACGTTTATTATCCATATCGGAATGTCTATAAATACAAAGGATTCTTTTGCTTTATTACACTGTCCTCAATACTGACTCGAAAGTTCAATTATAGAATTTCTGTGACAGTCCAAACTATATTTTTTTCCCTAGTATTCTCCTTGATAATTCGTTATAATGATCATTTTTAGTCAGAGTATTTTTCTTTGGATCTGCTGCAACAACTATGGCTTGACGACTGTAACATTTTTTATATATCATTTCTTAAATTTGCTCTTATCAGACCTGACTATCAATGATAATAAGTATAATAATTTTCACAAATTCAGTACTAGCTGATGATGTTATAGCTGTAAAGTGTGTATCTTATTTTATAAATTACAATGCTCTATGCGTTTATTTTTTCCGTAACACTACCAGAGGTGGATGTGCAGTTTACAGTCGTTCGGAGCATGGTTTTATCTCAATCGTATTCTAGCATGTAAATAGACGGCATCAACGGCAATAACGTGATTCAAGTAGAGTGTCTGTTTAATTCTATAGTTGTTTCACTATTTTATGGTTATTTTCACTAATGTTATTAACAATAAAAACAGCTCATTTAAAGATTAACTTCTTACAATTCTCTAATGAACTGCATGACCTTTTTCAATGAGAAAATTTGAGTGAAAGTCTTGCAGCTTGAGGTGTAGACAGTTCCTTGTGATTTGCCGATTATACGAAGGTCGTTTTATGTCAATGTATAGTTCCGCCAAGCAAATGTAGTTATTCTGGTTTCCTTCTGACTAACACTCGCAATTAACCGGTCCATATTTGGACAAGTGTTTTACGAAACGTATTTGACATTCGTTGATCTTGTATATTGAAATCTTTCGTGAAATATTTTATGACGCCGGAGCATCGCAGAGAATACAAAAATGTGGAGTTGTTAAATAAAAGACGAAGGATAAGTCAGACATTTTAATGGGAAGCAAATTATAAGCATCTTCCGAAAATTCATTTTTTTCTTGAATCCACTCGGCGATCGGCCTCTCGAATGATGTTCCTCAATTGGATGGCGATCTTTTCATTGCAGGCCCCAATTGCTCGAGGGTTCATGAGATTCACTTTTTCTCCTAAACATAGGGGTTTTGTGAGTTCTCTGACATCGCAACTAATGCGTTTACTTCGTAGTACCTGTTACTCGATCGATGACGACTCCTCCAGCTTCGGTGATGATTAAAGATGCTGCTGCAATATCCCAAGTTGAGATAGCTGGACCCTCGATGTGGTACGCTTCGATGGCTCCCAAGGCTACGTAACACAAAGTCAAGGCAGCTACTCCAAGAGCCCGAAGTCTAGAAACAGAAAAAGGGTTATAAAATGTTACGTGGTCGTTAGGTGCGAAAGTCTTTTTTTCTTGTTTCTACGAATTGCATACCCGTGAGCATTTTCAATCAATGCTTGGAATCTCTCTAACATGTAGTCCTTAAGATAGTCAATCTTCATAAATGCTGGTTCCATGCAGACTAGCGCTTTCGATATATCTGAAATCTCAAGCCCAATGAGGAAGCTGTTTTTGTACAGGAAAATTCACACTTTACCTTGAATTTTGGATGCTTTGATTGGCTGACCGTTTAGAAATGCACCTTGGCCCTTTTTCGCTGTGAAAAGTTGCTCCAACATAGGATTGTAAACGATTCCAATTACCATCTCCTTTCTGATGGACAGGCCAACCACGATACAAATATGAGGGAAATTATGAATGAAGTTCATTGTACCGTCGATTGGATCTATGATCCATGTTGGATCATCGGTTAGCTCTGGTAATTGTGGTCCAACTGACTCTTCGGCGATAAATCTATCACGGACAATATACAACTTTATTGTATTCGATTTTCATACGGTGAGTCGTATGTGGAAAGATGGGGTGACGAGGTCTTTAGGGCATTTTGATTCAAGGATGTTTCTACTTACTTGTGTTTAGGGTATTCTCGCTTCAGTCTCCCAATAATGATATCCTCTATCCTCTTATCGTGTTCTGTTACTAGATCCCATGCACCAAGTTTTTCGTTGAAAGCTTTCATGCCACTTGTTACTTTTTTCAGTACCTTACATAAAATTAAACTTTTAAAGCAACGATTTCATAAATATCTTTTACGTACAAATCATGTTACATGAGATAACTTAGAGGTGTCGAAATTTCCTCTATATTTTCCACCCTAGAAAGTGAAACTTCAAAGGAAAGATAGTTATCACAATTCTGGACAATAATATTAAATGATCACGTGATGGATTCCGTAAATAGGTTATTCAGGTCTATCGTTCATTATGATAAAAATAATACGCCATTTATCATGTATAATTATTTTTGTTAGTATTATGTGTTACCTCAGCGGCATCTTGAACCAATTTCAACGCAAACCCGTAATAAGCATCTAATTCGTGGCTCGTCATCGCGGTTTCAACAGGAAATACCCGAGAACGAATCTCTGGTCTACTCAGGAAAAGGTGCGATCAACTACTGAGCTCTCTGCATCCAGATCTACGTAGATCAAGACGAGGACATTGGATAACGTTGATTTACATTCTCCTCTCTCGAAGGCTTCACGCCTGCCTTATTCTCCCGATGTCGTGTGCCGTTTGCATTTTTCGTTGAAACTCTTTTGTTTCCCGTTAAACTGAAATTACCATATACTGCAATCTCCACTCTCTTTGCATAGTTAGATAGCACTGCTCCTCCGTTTCCTCATTACAGCTCTATTGAATCGTGACTTTGAACACTGAACAAATTAAAAAGTAATTTATTTCAGAATCAAAAGTAGTCAGCAATAGTTTGCTGATATTTTTGTGACTACTATAATAAGGTTTCTATTACATTAGTGTTAAGTTTAAATTTGTAATTTCCGGTTTGTTAATCGTTCTTTGTATTTAATTAACCGATCAATGAACTCCAAGTCGTCTGGCGGCGTAGGAGGGTAAATATCCGTATTTCTTGCAATCTCTTTCGGAATATTTATTTCTGCATATTTACTGCAAACAACATTCCATAAAACAGGATAGTGGCATGCTTTCGGTTAAACAGAAAAAACTACTCCTGAAGTGTTCTGAAGTAATATTTTATTCATAATAGCATAGTCTTCTAGAACATTATATCGTTACATGGTTTAACTTTTTTCTCAGAAAAACGAAGCATTTTTAATTGTCTACCTCCAGGCACAATTTTTACAGATTTACGACAGAGTCTTTATGACTAAATATCTCGAGGTTGTTACTGTGAACGTGACGAACTTTGAAGGCTATGTACAAGATCATGCTAGAAGAATGCTTGTCCAGGATACTCGGGAACCAGTAAAGCGCCCATAGATTTCCAGTGCGATAACTTGTTCGTAAAGATTAAATAATTGCATAACGTAATGAACTAATCGGTGGGTAATGATCCGTTCAAGTCCTCTTCAGCCTTTTCCGCTGTGTTTTTAAATCCGTGTCTACGATTAACTTGGACGTTTCACATGCAAGTTCCTTAGTAGCTGCCGCGATTGTGTTGGGTTTCATGAGGTTGTGTTGCTTACCTAGGATAGCACGTTTATTAATTCAACTGCATTAAGTACTTTTCAAATCCTTCACCAACCTTTTGTATCGATTACTGTACCACCGGCCTCTCTAACTAATAGAACTCCTGCAGCAACGTCCCAGGGCTTCAGGAAGTCCATAGTAAACATGTCTGCAATGCCTCTGGCAATATAAGCTAAATCCAAGGCCGCAGATCCTGAAGATCTCGAGCTGAGCCATACGAGGAAAAACATTGTATTAACAAACTTATTCTTGGAGGAAAGCAAATATTTTCCGGTTAACGTTTTTGGTAATAACCTTACTATGCTTAACCCTTTTAGTGCCGGAGGCCGATATATCGGCCCTCGTTGCACTGGCGAAAAGTGCCAGAGCCGATATATCGGCCCGCACCTTGTAGCGCTTTACTATTCGCTTTGCGAGAGATCTCTATCTCAAAATAAATTTATAATACGTTATGAATAGTCTAATTTCATTATGAGAGAATTAAAATAACAATATAACAACACCTATATCAACCTATAACCTATAACAATTACTTGTTTCGGATGAGATAATCCGTCCGGCGCCTACCATGTGCCTTGGAGTTATTTTTTGTTTCTTGTGCAATATTACTTATTTTGTTAAAAAAATATTGGAAATTTAAAGTATATACTTTGCAATAAACGGTCTATATAAATTTATGATAAAAAGATGACTTTTCCTATGTGCAATTACGTTTTGAAAAAGAGAACTCAATTTTTCTTTTTTTTTTATCACTTATACCTTTGTTATTTATGTAATTTTCAATGAATATAGAAAAATTAGCGTCACGGTTTTATTCTCTATTTTGTCCTTAATACTCTGCTTTTTGAATTATGTAAATATTGCTTTTCGTTTGGTTTTTATGAGCTTTTTCCAAATCCTAGTAAAATCGTAAAATTCAGCCGGTTATCTTCGCATAAGCACCTCTTTTTCGCCCGGCACTAAAAGGGTTAATATATCGTCTTACCCTTGAGTTGCATCAACGAGAGCTGCTACTCGAGCATGACTGATATCACTGCCATGAGGGAACCAGTGAGCATTTACCGGCTCAATTAATATCAGAGAATTCTTCAGTTCTGGAAAATGTCAAAAGTCCATCCGGTCATGTGGTATGTTTCGAATGTTTCGCTTATTCTCTCGTGGTATGTATTCATTTTTATTCGTAAACCGGTACCTTTTTCTGTGGTAGTACATATTCGCTTTCCATTTAAGAATGCGCCTTCGCTCTTTTTCGAGGTATACAACTCGCCGTTGATAGGATTGTACACGATTCCGATTACTAGTTCTTTACAGATCGCTAGGGCGACCGATATGCAGAATTGTGGATACGAATGTATGTAGTTCAAGGTACCGTCTATTGGGTCTATGATCCATGTTGGGTCATCCGTCAATTCTGGAAGCGGTCCACCGGCAACCGTTTCTTCTCCTATAAATCTTTAGCACCCCATATTTATAATTATATGAAATTGCCTAGAATGATGTGTACGTGCATGCTGGTCATGCTTCTGAAATACTGTTCTGATGTAGTTTATACGAGCAGAATTCACATTAGTAACGATAATTTCTATGTCGAAAACATTGTTCTGAAATTGGGAAATACTTGAATTCCATTAATTTTGAAATGTTCAACTTTGAATTACATCGGCATTCTTCTTAATATCTTCACGGATCCTGTGAATCGTTGTTTTGATATGCAAGGAATATTTCTCAGTACAAAGGCATGTTAATGCTTTAATGGTATGGTCATCAACTTACTTGTGATCAGGGAACGTGCAGGATATTTGCGTGATGAAGAGTTCCTCGACTTTTTTGTCCTGATCGGTTACAAAATCCGAGATGCCACTTTTAGCCTTGACGTTCTTGTTCTCTTCGAAGCCTTTCTTGATTATCTGAAGTTTGCACCGGATGATAAACGTATTGACCATTGATACCTAATGCCTTATACGTAGGGTATTATCAGAAATTTTCAACGGAAAGTAATACAGAGTATTTACTATTGACAGAATAATACGCTTAAACGAGGTAAAACATCGAATTGGATGCATTGGAAATTTGAACGCACCGGAAATGATTTTACTGGAACCGACGGTCTTATTTTCCATTTTTTCATATTATATGTACGATGATAAGTGTACTTTGGATAAAAGAAAAATATTTAACCTGGATATCACTTGTTTGTGTATATTATAACGTGACAGTGATATTTACGAATTTCAATTTGATAATCATTTTAATTGGAGAAATTGTAGATTAATAATTTTATTCGCATTTCTGTTATTTCTGGGTTACATGTATTGATAATTTATTTTTACTTATTCCTTGTTTGACACACTTGTTTTTATATTATAAATTATCTCTTAAGTGACACACTTAAAAGATGTAAATATTATTACAAATCACTGGCTTTGTTTGATACTCGGAGGAGATTACAATTCTGTTAACATGCGAGAGACTCGATGACATCTTTGAATGTGTTTTGTCGCATAACTGCAATCTTACTGTCTAGACTTGGTGACAGGTAATAAATCGTTGCCGTATGTTCAGCGTTAAATATTTCACTTGGCAAGTATTCTTCGCGGAATGATACAGACTACCATAATCTCTATTATTCAATTTTAGTTACAGATTTATACAATTTTTTCAAAAGTAGAGCGGTTAAAAATGGTTAAATCAAGGAAAATGTAATATAATGTAGCCAATCCTTTTCTCAATTGCGGTACTTTCTATGGTTTTAATGCACATTTTTTTGTCTCAACCAAAGTTTACAACCCTTCTGAATCGTCTTTACACAGTTTAGTATATTATTGATTAATGTTGTGACGTGCTGATATTGTAAAAATTTCTCGACTCTTCTAAATTAGACATTATATATGTCTAAAACCTCAATATTATTTAGAAAATGGTCATTGAAATAAAAATGCGCAATGGTAAGCTTTACAGCTGATTTACAAAATTATTTGTTTTAAGTTCGGGGAATATTACTACGTCAACTAAATGTCATTAGCTCTCGTTGCACGTAGTTTTTATACTGTTAATAGTTCATGTTTCGAAGGAAACAGTCGCATGTAGGAATGAGGTTAAAACATACCAGAAATGTGTCAAGTTTGATAGATGGTTCTTTTGTGAAATAACACTTTTTACTTTTTCGATCGTTTTAATTGGTGGATTGTGACTCACCTCCCCTGCTTCCAACGTCAAGTCTTTGATAAATTGAAAGTATTTTTCGATATCGTGATGTTCTGTCATTTTCTCTGACTCCAAGAAGTTCTTTGGTGTGACTGAGCTAGGGTCGGTTTGTAACACTCTTATTATCAACGACAAAGATATACGTCCTCGTAAGTACAGTGAACACGCCAATCTGGCCATTTTGAAAGATTCATAAGTTTGTATCTTATCTGACGATGGTTACATTCTTGGTTAAGGTTCTTAACACCTGCGATTATTTAGCTCGATATTTCGTCCGAAAGTCTATTTTTTTTATTCAAACGTGTTTTCGATACAGTTAGGATATTTATATTTGTATATAAAATGTCTCCATACTCTTTTATTGAACTAAGGAATTAAATGAAAAAGATGACATTCTTTGATCATACCTTTCATGGTTACATTCATGGTTAAGGTTCTTAACACCTGCGATTATTTAGCTCGATATTTCGCCCGCAAGTCTTTTTTTTTTATTCAAACGTGTTTTCGATACAGTTAGGATATTTATATTTGTATATAAAATACTAAGGAATTAAATGAAAAAGATGACATTCTTTGATCATACATTTAATGGTCCTTTAACGTTAACGGAATTTTCTGTTGGCGTATTTTGTGATTTGAAAACTCATATAAGCAAACTAGTAGCAATGGAATTTGAATAGGGTAAGATAGGAAATACATTTTTGCAACTTTAGTTTTACACATTTTTATCTTTTATTACTTAATCTCTCAATATTTTAATTCTACAACGTCCGATATCTACGTCTTCCTTGAAATGATTTATTAATTAAGTTAATCATTACTTCGTCTTGTGACACTACCATTATCACGCGCGAGAACAATCATACAGGCGAGATATTAACAAACTTTAATCAATTAAAGTAGCTCAGTATCGCATATTCATCAGAATAATAATACTGTTCGTAAAAATGCAAAATTAAGTCATTATTAAAGCAACTACGTTTATCTATTATATTTACTCTATTTCATTTACAAATTCGTTGTTTGCTGTAGAATTGACGCACAATTACTCCCTAGTCAATTGCTACTGCTTCATCAGTGAAATACTTGTTCTTGTCTCGATGCTTCGGTTGAATATTAAGTTTCAAGAAGGTTACATTAATTTTTTAGTTCTTGTTATACATCAAACGGAGGAATTTCGAGTTGAGAGCAGACCTGCTGCACGGTTAGATTTAAATATCCTTATCTCTAATCCTAGTATCGAATCATTGTTTCGCTTCCAGAGCGACAATGAGCATCAGATTTTTTTTTACTGTGTCGAGGTCAGCCTTTTTTGCTGTGTCTTCGCGTCTGCGTGTTTGATAAGCTTCACCAATTCTTGAGCCAATTTATGATTCCCAACTGCCAACACCTTGGGATTCATCACGTTGAAATTCCCACCTGTTACATAAAAACCCCGGTTATGAATCAGGAAAATTCTATTGACGTAGAAGGAAAGAACAAATTCGCGTTCTTCCCAATAAAAATCGGTCTTCTTTACCATTTGTGTCGATCACGGTTCCTCCGGCCTCTCTGATGATAAGAACGCCCGCTGCTACATCCCACGGCATTAGATTGTCGGTATGATAGGCTTCTGCAGCACCCATCGCCACGTGACATAACGTTAGAGCAGCTGATCCTAGCGTTCTTATTCCATGAGCAATGGAAACGAATGCTTCCAGCCTTCCCAGAATGATGTCTCTGATGTCTTTTATTGTGGCATACGATGCTTCGATGCAGATTAAAGAATTCGATAACTCTGCAATGCGAAATTTACCAAGTTAAAATAGACGGAGCTTATCTCTAGGACGTGGTTAATCGTACTTAAGAATATTTCATGCAGAATGTAAAATTTAGGGTACAGGTTGGTTAATCATTTTTATTATTTTGTGATTAGTTTTTAATAACTTGATACGGTAGAAAAGAAACACCAGTGGCTATGTCGTTTCAAGATCTAGAAACAATTTGGCCATTTCAATATATCTATTTGTTGGAATTTTAATTTGTTTTTTCTCAGTGGATTTCTAACTGGTCTGCCTGTGGTTGATAAATCAATAGTTAATAGTGATAAAGTATATAATATTTACCTTCAACTTTTGAACTCTTTATTGGTTTGCCATTTAGGTGAGCTCCACGTCCTCTTCTGGCCATGAAGAGTTGCTCGAGAATAGGATTATATACAATTCCAATTTCCAGTTCTTTATTGATTGCTAGAGCTATTGAAATGCAGGTATGAGGGAAGGAATGAACGAAGTTAGTTGTTCCGTCAATTGGGTCAATGATCCACGTGGGTGCATCTGTCAGATCTGGCAGATGGTTTGTAGACGATACTGTTTCCTCGCCAATGAACCTTAAATATGTCATAAAATTAGCTAAGAGGTAGAAATTAGGCACGTTATTTTTTAACGGAAATGCTTAATTCATTTTTGGAACACGCAGTTGTCCCAGATTTCATTTAAATTTCGATTTTTATTTTTGCACAATTAAGAGTGTTTACTTGTTAAAATTATTTAACACGTCATCCATTATCCATTATTCATATACTATGCGGATAAAAATAGAGTAACCGCAGCACGTGTATTCGTCCAACCTATACCTCGGGTTACGGGAGATAAATTATACAATGTAAAATTTTGCTTACTTGTGTGTAGGGAACTCCTTGGCTAATCCAGAAATTAAGATTTCCTCCACTTCTTTATCGTATTGCGTTACTAAATCCCAGTCTCCGGCTTTGGTTTCTATGTTTTTACTGCTTTGAATAGCATTGCGAATAATCTATACAAAGAATAATTAAAAATATAAAATATTAAATTTTTTTAATGACTGCCTATTGATGACTGAAGAGTTATGCCTACACTGTTTATTAAATTAATGAAAAACCTTAATAGGGTATATGTTGTAGGTAAAGTGATGAATAGGGCTCAAAGTTTGTATTTATTACTTTGATTAGAACATATACATATTTTAAAATCATACGCAAAGCAAATTGAATAAGAACATTCTAATAAGGTTCGTTCATAACCAAAGTGTAGGCATAATAATAGGAATATTTTAAGTTGATTACTGACGTAATTTAAATGTTTCAATCAATTAAATTAAAACGAAGAATCGAGGACTCATGCACTTAATCTCAATGATAAAATTGCATTATCTACCCAAATAAATAGAACACTCTTAATAAAGATGACATGCAAAATTAAGTTCAATTTCCCGGTAATATAACATTCAAAATATAAAGTTTAAGAGATTAGTATTATCAATTTAGGAATGTTGTTAGAAAACAAGTACAAGAATGAGTTGAAAAATATTCACCTCTCCCGATTCAATTGTGAGTTTCATGGCGAAGTCATAGCAATGATCGATGTTCTCGGTGGTACCCATAATGAGGAAAATTCAAAAGAAAATGTTGCTCAACTTTCAGGTTAAAAATTGACGTTGACGCGAATTCTTAGGACATTCACGCGATACGATAGTTCACTATTCAAACGCTTCTGTCGAAGTAAGGTCTTGTTCGGGGAAGCTCACTACTTATGGTGCGAACCTCGCTCCCCACCTTTCCGACTTGCATCTCTATTCGTCTTAATAATAATGAACTACCAGTTTATTTCCACTATCACTGAGTGATAACTCCAAATTCAGCTTGTATCGTGGGAACCTTGGAAATGAACCTAACGTTATTAAAAGAATCTGCCTAGTCTCCCAAAATTGTAAAGATATCAGTTAATGGATTTCTCTTGTTGAAAAGAATGGAAAATTTTTTTGCTTTAGTACATCAGTTTTGATTATAATATAAGAAGTCATAAACTGATCGAATCAGTTTGCCTTTAATGCCAGAGATAAATTGTCACTTAGAAGCATTTTTATATTTTCATTTAAAACCGCTCTTTAACAGACGATACGACAAGATGAGTTCAAATTGAGCCATTATATATCATCAAGAATGGTTTCCCTCTAATAACTTTTCCATTTACTGAAGTGTCTGAATATAACAGAATTCTTCCACGACATGACTACATTAATATAACATGTAATACATAAGCCACGTGTTCTTTTAATACAGACAATGTCTTTGTTAATCATCGAGGGAACTTTGCCTTCGCAAATTTCGACTTTTTAGGCTATATCCCGATCGCGTCATAACGATTCATAACCTTATATGTAGCGGAATTTCATTTTATATCCGTCTCATCTTCGATGTGTCTAGAGATTAACGCGATAACCGTCTGGAAAAATCGGCAAGTTTAGGTTAAGTTAGGGGTTAAGACGAGATACAATGGTATCTGCGCACGCAAGTCAGGCATTTCTCGGTGAAAACCTCCAGCTGATAGGAGTGACGCCCGTCCGCGAGATGACGTATTTTCAGAGCCGTTTAGACTTCCGTTGTTCACGATGAAATGCATCGGTTTGTCACGTGAAAGCCGATTGCCGCGTGCGGATAGATAAGGGAAATCGCCAGTGCCCAAGTTCTCAGGTGCAGGACTCGGAGCACGTGGTTGACGTGTGTCAGAAGTGAGTTGGTGCAGTGTTTTTGTTTGTGTACGGAGGCCGCATGCTTTGCGCACGCCTCGGTGGAGCAAAAGCCACGTGTCCTCGGCATGCCTTCTAGTAATCGTAGCCGGGCCGGACATCCGTCGTGCTCGTTGCAAGATCGTTTCCTCTCTTCTGAGACGATTCATTGATCCTTTATCATTTATGACCGGCAGTACTCGCGGTAACTTAAATCGACTCCCCCCTGGCCGTGAAACCCTGATATCTGATTCGGTCAATTTCAGAGATAATTCCGGATCAGTGCAGTACTCGCGGTAACTTAAATCGACTCCCCCCTGGCCGTGAAACCCTGATATCTGATTCGGTCAATTTCAGAGATAATTCCGGATCAGTGCCGGATTATCTAGCACTACGGAGACCGAGTCGGTCTCCGTATGTGTAGAATCTTGTGACCCGACTACTCTGTTATTGTCTTTATGGTTTTTGCATTTATGTCGAAGCTCATTATGAAATAATTCGACCGTGTGTTACCGTTTCAATTAATTCGAATGAGGAGTGCTTCACTGAAAAATAAACATTTAGTTATAGTTACTAAAAGAACGTATGTCAATTGATAATAGTCGATGAAATCATAGTTTACAGTTCCTAGAACTGTTTACGATAATTTATAATAGTGATAGTATGATCATTTTAAATAATTTAGTAATAGAAACCAAAGGAAGCGTAACTTAAATTATAGTATCACTTACCATGGTTTTTGTATGTGTATGAAGATTATGTTTCAACAATTTTGTTTTAAACTAGTGTCATGAAATGAACGTTTTTTTTTAATTAGTTAATTTACCATTGCTTGGTTATATCAACTTCCAGTTTGTACTGTTCGTTACCGAAGTCTTTGTGCAAATTAGGTTCGGCAGGATAGATAAATGCCGAGGCTGTTTCGCAAGTGATGACCGTAGTCTGTTTCTATAAGATCTGTTACTGTTTTTTAGATTTAACGTTTATATGTAACGGTTCAGTTCCCGTGAGATATCGGCGTTACGTGGGCATGGAGATCTACAAAGGACTAGTGTTTTTGGCGAACAGTTTTTCTAAATGAACAATGACAGTGTAGTATCTGTGCGGTATTACTTATATTAATATGCGTTTATAGGTTGAACGATTTCTGAAATTAATTCACTTCATTGGTGTCGCAACCATGGAAATCGTTTTGATTTCTGGAACCGGCTGGATACTGTTTCAAACTTACCTTTTCAATATTTAGAGGTAATCCTGGATTTTAGAAATGAATTGAGTTGAGAGCCAGTCGAGTGAAAACGTGTTAAAATCTAGATATCGATACTCGTGGAAGAAAAACTCAATAGCGATTATATCCGACTCAAATAAAAAATCGTAGCGACGTGCTGATAGGATGGAAAGAGTCGCGTATAACCGCGGCTTCATTGAACACTGATAGGGGTTATAAAGATTACGATCGCGTTTTCCCCAAGGTTGCGCTCTTTTATGACGAACGGATTCCTCAAAAGAGCAACCTTTAAGGTGAAGTGAAACCCCCTTCAAATCAGTCGATTCGAATACAACACTTTTTTTAAAGGGTATTAGACCAAACTGTCCGAAACTTTGACACATCATTCCTGATCATCTAAGAATGTCCTGACACATTCAAAATTTGGATTTATGGAAAAATTTTTTTAACTTAGCCCAGACCAGAACCAAAATGGCGTCAGGCTCTCATATTTCGATCGATATACAATTATCGAACGCTCTGATATGAGAAACGAAACGGTCAGGACAATTTTACAACAATTTAGAACACTCTGGTAATCGATAAACTCGCATTTGAACGGGATAAAGGCAAAAAAAGTGTCGTATGCGCTTCTATGCTAAAACGATGGGAATACGAGGTCTCGGAGTGAAAATTTAACTGACCTGGAAATCACAGATGGCGCAGGGTGGTCCCTCTGCAGTCAATTAGGGCCCCAGAAAGCATGAATCCAGGGATTTCTGGAGTTTTACTTCGATTTCTTGATATTTATTGTACGAAAACGACAGGGGGAGTTTGCCATTTGATACAATACCCAATATAATTCGACACAGGTATCAATATAAAAACGAACGTCGGTAACGTAGGCATTTAGAAAAATTTTCTTTATCGACGTCGATCAAGTTCCTCGACGTGTTTCACTTCTCCTTAAGCATAGAACAGGTCCTAATTTTATTTTCCAACACGTTACTATTACTGTTGTATGTTAGATGACACAATTAGTTATTTTAAAGAATGACAAGGAAAATAAATGATTGAAATTGTTCTAAATAGTTCTGAATTGTCCCTCGTGTTATCGATTTTTTTATGTTTGACAATGGGCAATTATTCCTACGAGAAACTAAAATGTGAATGCGAAGTAAACGAATTCCACTCGCAGTTTAACGTACATTTAGAGCCTTAATATGTTCAGAAGCCATTATCGAAACGTGACATTGCAATGCGTTTCCTATTATCAGTGACATAACGACAAAAGTAAATGCGTTGCTCATGACATTGGTACCATTCGGATGAAGAGGGAGACGCGAGCACTATGTGATAGGCAGTTTGTTATTACGTTTATATTTGATGAAGCTGTAACACATGTATGTGGTCGTCCTCAATATTTGTTAATATAAAATGGGGAGGAACTAATTGTTGGTAGAGTTTATTAAAATGAGTACTGAAGTTTTAGAATAAAATTTCTTGTACTTTCTTTATAGGGGCAAGGAGGACCCGGGACAGCGGGGCCAGGATCGCAACAAGGGCCCGGGGGATCTATGACACCAGGACAGATGGGTCCAAATGGACCTCAGAGTGGCTCACACATGGTTCAATCTGGTCCAGGGCAAATTGGACCAAACGGTTCAGGACCAATGGGACCGAATGGACCAGGACCAGGTCAAATGGGTCCTGCAGGACCAGGGCAAATGGGATCAGGAGGACCGTCGCAAATGGGGCCAGGAGGTCCAGGGCCAATAAGCATGAGTCAAATAGGCTCGTCTGGGTCGGGACAAATGGGTCCCGGGAGTCATATAGGGCAACAAGGAAGCGGTCCTCAGGGAGGTCCTCACATGGGGCAACAAGGAAGCGGTCCTCAGGGAGGTCCTCATATGGGGCAAGGAACTGGTCCTCAAGGTGGCCCACATTTGGGACAAAGTGGATCCGGCCAACAATTAGGATCCGGAGGACCACAAACTGGCTCCACGGCCCAAATGGGTCAGGGAGGACTACAGAATTCTCAGATGGCTCCTGGAGGACCAGGACATTTGTCAGGTCCACCGGGATCAGGCCATATGGGTTCTGGTGGCCCAGGTCATATGGGCGCTGGCCAGATTCCACCGAGTGCTCCCAATAGTCATGGAATGGGACCAAGTGGTCCAAATCAGATGGGACCAGGTGGTCCGGGCGGGCAAATGGGTCCTGGTGGTCCCGGAACCCAAATGGGACCAGGAGGTCCGGGAGGACAAATGGGACCTGCAGGACCAACCTGCCAATTGGGGGCAGGAGGACCAGGACAGATGAGTCATAATGGCCCTGGTCAGATGGGACCGAATGGTTCCGGACAAATTGGAATGGGAGGGCCAGGAGGGCAGATGAGCATGGGTGGACCAGGAGGACAAATGGTATCGGTAGGACCTGGTGGACAAATGGGACCTGGAGGTCCAGGGGGGCAGATGGGACCAGGCAGTCAAATGGGGCCGGGAGGACAAGGACAGATGGGACCAGGAGGTCCAGGTGGACAGATGGGGTCGAGCAGTCAAATGGGACCTGGTGGGCCTGGAAATCAAATGGGACCAGGAGGACCTGGAAATCAAATGGGTTCGGGAGGTCCCGGAAATCAAATGGGTTCGGCAGGCCCAGGAAATCAGATGGGTCCAGGAGGTCCAGGGAGTCAGATGGGACCTGGTGGTCCAGGAAGTCAAATGGGACCTGGTGGTCCGGGAAGTCAAATGGGGCCCGGAGGTCCGGGGAGCCAAATGGGACCAGGAGGCCCAGGAAGCCAAATGGGTCCTGGAGGTCCAGGTAGCCAAATGGGCCCTGGCGGTCCTGGAAGTCAAATGGGACCCGGAGGTCCAGGGAGCCAAATGGGGCCCGGTGGTCCAGGGAGTCAAATGGGGCCTGGAGGTCCAGGGAATCAAATGGGACCTGGAGTTCTAGGTCAGATGGGACCCGGAGGACCAGGAAATCAAATGGTACCGGGCGGTCCAGGGAGCCAGATGGGGCCGGGAGGTCCAGGAAGTCAAATGGGGCCAGGTGGTCCTGGGGGCCAATTGGGACCTGCCGGTCCAGGAGGTCAAATGGGACCGGGTGGTCCGGCAGGCCAGATAAATACGAGTGGTCCTGGAAATCAAATGGGATTAGGAGGCCCAGGAGGTCAAATGGGACCAGGTGGTCCAGGAAGTCAAATGGGACCTGCTGGCCCAAATAGTCAACTGGGACCTGGGGGATCCGGAAGTCAAATGGGACCTGGGGGTCCAGGTAGTCAAATGGTACCAGGAGGTCCAGGTGGTCAAATGGGACCCGGAGGATCTGGCGTACAAATAGGTCCTGGCAGCGCGAGCAGTCCAATGGGACCTACCGGGCCATCTGGACAAGCAGGATCAACTCAAATGGGTCCCGGAAGTCAAAATCAAGGTCAGATAGGACCTGGAGGACCTGGACCAATGGGCCCTGGTGGACCTGTCAATCAAATGAGTCAAACAGGACCAGGTCAGATCGTTCCTGGAGGACCGCCTGGTCCACCGGGTCCTGGTCAAGAAAATTTAAACGCGCTTCAGAAAGCTATTGACTCAATGGAAGAAAAAGGTTTGCAAGAAGATCCTCGTTACTCGCAATTGCTTGCATTGAGAGCTCGCCAAGGAAGTAGTATGGGAGAAAAGCAAACATTTAGTTCACAGCAATTGCAGCAACTTCGGTAGGTGCTTTACTGGGCAATCGCTGTTTCTCCGCTCATTTTTAAAAATGTTTTAAACCTGTATATTAAGCTATATACTTCCACTGAATTGTAACTATTTTAACTTAATCTGTTGATAAGTTTGCGAGATAAGAGATACTCTCTAGATTTTATTGGGTTGAACGTATACCAATTATAATTTGCAGTGTACAGATAATGGCATACCGACTACTGGCACGAAATCAACCATTATCCCAGCAACTGGCACTTGCTATACAAGGTAAGATCAGAATGCCGTTGTTGATTTTCATTCCCAGAAACTTTGGGTGTCTACTCTAACTTTTGTTACTTTTTTACATTTGCAATGTGAATTATTTGTACGCGTACAACGTGGTACAGCGATACGCTTAGGACTGCGCAATATTTTTCTGCATTTTTCAACAATTATTTTGCATACGAAGACACATCTAATTCCGTGAACCCGTAATTAAAGCACGTATGTTCTCCTTTGTTCAGTTATTGTGTAGTTCCTAACTCCAAGTTAACACATCAGAAACGTGTTTATTAGTTGATTGAAGATAAAAATCTTGGCCGCTTAGAAGTCGATTGTCGTGCAAAGTAGAGTAGATTGATCCCGAGATCGGTTCTGACGGAAGAAAAAAACGGGTCTAAATAGGCGGAGCTCCTCCTCCAGGTATGGGACCACGACCCATGGATCCCTCCCAAGGTCCTGTAACACCTACCGGTCCACAAATACTAGGGCCACCTGTCATAGGACCAGCCGGGACACCGAGACCAGGTTTGCAAACACCTCAACAGCAACAACAACCTCAGCCTGGACCAAAAACGAATAGGGTAACCAGCGTGCCAAAGCCAGCCGGCCTCGATCCACTTCTAATATTGCAAGAACGCGAGAATAGGTAAGAATAGAAGAGATTTAATCCATACGCAATTATAAGAACACTTCTTGACGTATGATTATCCTTTATGAAAATTTTCTTTATAGCATCGAAAAGACGAATATTTTTAATGCAACATTCATGAATAACAACACAAATTTCCTGATGGTAGGGTTGCAGCGCGTATTGCACTTCGGATGGAACAACTCAGTAATTTGCCAACTAACATGCCAGAGGATCTTCGAATTCAAGCACAAATTGAATTGAGAATGCTAAGGGTATTGAACTTCCAACGGCAGCTCAGGTCAGAGGTAAGAGGAGAAACCGCTTGATAATTTTTTCTTATGTTTTTTTTTATCATTTTTAAAATTGTTTTTTATATTTTTTTCTAGATTATTGCGTGTACTCGGAAAGACACGACATTAGAGACGGCCGTAAACGTAAAGGCGTATAAACGTACTAAGAGGCAAGGTTTGCGAGAAGCCAGAGCAACCGAGAAACTAGAGAAGCAACAGAAGCTAGAAGCGGAACGCAAACGCAGACAGAAGCATCAAGTAGGTTTCAATAGTTTTCGTTGTACCTTAATCCGATAGTTTTGAATTTCAGAACTTTTGTACATGCTTTTAATTGTTCTATTCAGGAATTCCTCAGTTCGGTACTTCAGCATGGCAAGGACTTCAAAGAGTTTCATCGCAACAATGTTGCCAAATTGGCACGTCTCAATAAAGCCGTTCTTAATTATCATGCTAATGCGGAAAGAGAGCAGAAAAAGGAGCAGGAACGAATTGAGAAAGAACGTATGCGCCGTCTTATGGCTGAAGATGAAGAGGGTTACAGAAAACTGATTGATCAGAAGAAAGATAAACGTCTGGCCTTCCTGTTGTCGCAAACTGATGAGTACATAAGTAATCTCACGGAGATGGTGAAACAACATAAGATAGAACAAAAAAGAAAGCAGGTTGAAGAGCAAAAACGTAAAAAGGTTGGTTTTTTTTCTTTCATTTACTAGTTATTCGTACGTTGTAATTTCACGTAAGTGTTCATAATAATACAACTATTCGATGTTCAGAAGAAGAAGAAGCTGCGGGATAGCGAGGGTGGTGAGGATGGCGGATCCAACGATGACGTTCGGATTGGTGTTATTGAAACTTCTAGCGGCCGTACGTTAACTGGGGATGATGCCCCACTGATGAGTCAACTATCAGCCTTTTTGGAAGCTCATCCTGGATGGGAGCCGATTGATTCAGACAGTGAAGATGATGATGACGATGACGACGACGAAAGTGAGGATAAGTTAGATAGCACGTTCTGTACACAAACTTCTCTTTTTGAGGAGAATAAAATACCCTGCGAAATTGATTTAAAAAATATAATTCTCTTTCAGACAAAGAGAAAGGTCACGGTGATTCCGAAGAAGATAAAGTGAAGAAAACAATACATAAAGCCAAAGTAGAGGACGACGAATATAAGACCGAAGAACAAACATACTATAGTATAGCTCATACAGTTCATGAAGTCGTTACTGAACAAGCATCTATAATGGTTAATGGTAAACTAAAGGAGTATCAGATTAAGGTATCTATCAGTCATACAATTATTTTTTCGTCTGTCATATTGCTACCATATATTAATGAGTAATTGTTTTTGGGTAGGGTTTGGAATGGTTGGTATCATTGTTCAATAATAATCTCAATGGAATTCTTGCGGATGAGATGGGTCTTGGTAAGACCATCCAAACGATTGCTCTCGTTACGTACCTCATGGAAAAGAAGAAAGTCAATGGCCCATTCCTCATCATCGTTCCTTTATCGTAAGAAACTTTTTTTTCCTTAAGTTTGAAGAAGTATTCATTACTCGTTTCATAAATAAGCCTCACCTATTTTAACGTTTAAACTTGATTAAAGGAGTCAGTAGGGATTCAGACGATTTCATGGTTTTATAATGTTTATATATGTATTATGTACATCAGCGTAATATAGAATACTTTTTCGCCTTTAGGACTCTGTCAAATTGGGTACTGGAGTTCGAAAAATGGGCACCCAGTGTCGTGGTAGTGTCGTATAAGGGATCTCCTGCTGGAAGAAGGGCGATTCAGTCGCAAATGCGAGCGACGAAATTCAATGTTCTTCTGACAACTTACGAGTACGTTATTAAGGACAAGGGCGTATTAGCTAAACTTCAGTGGAAGTACATGATTATTGACGAAGGCCACCGTATGAAGAATCATCATTGCAAACTTACTCAAGTTTTAAACACTCATTATTTGGCTCCTCATCGTCTTCTTTTAACTGGAACACCCCTGCAAAACAAGTTACCGGAATTGTGGGCTCTACTAAACTTTTTGCTTCCGTCCATCTTCAAGTCTTGCAGTACATTTGAGCAATGGTTTAATGCACCATTTGCAACAACTGGTGAAAAGGTGCGTTTAGTGTGAGGTATGCATTAACAAAAATAGTGCACTAATACGGTGCGGTATTTCCCATTTGCAGGTAGAGCTTAACGAAGAAGAAACGATTTTGATCATCCGTCGCTTGCATAAAGTGTTGCGTCCATTTTTGCTTAGGCGTCTTAAGAAAGAAGTCGAGTCTCAATTGCCGGACAAGGTTGAATACATTATTAAATGTGACATGTCCGGTCTCCAGAAAGTTTTGTATAAGTAAGTCTCGCACATTTTACTAGTAATTGTTTACTTTATTAACCGGAGTGTTGTCTAAATCTTGTAATTTTTGTCATCTAGGCATATGCAAAGTAAAGGGGTACTTTTGACCGATGGCTCAGAAAAGGGCAAGCAAGGCAAAGGCGGTGCCAAGGCCCTTATGAACACTATTGTACAACTGAGAAAGCTATGCAATCATCCTTTCATGTTCCAAGCTATAGAAGAAAAATACTGTGAACATGTTGGAACGCAAGGATCTGGCGTGATTACTGGGTAAATATTCCTACTGATAAATTCATGCTCTTAAAATTATTGCATATTTTAATAATATTATTCATTAATCTAATAGCCCTGACCTATTTCGAGCTTCCGGCAAATTTGAGTTGTTGGATCGTATTCTTCCAAAATTGAAAGCAACAAACCACAGAGTATTACTTTTCTGTCAAATGACTCAGTTGATGACGATTATGGAAGATTATCTTGGCTGGCGTGGCTTCATGTATCTTCGATTAGATGGTACGACAAAGGCTGAGGATAGAGGGGATTTATTGAAAAAGTTCAACGATCCTGGATCGGAGTATTTTCTCTTTTTATTGTCAACTAGAGCTGGTGGTCTCGGTTTAAATCTTCAAGCTGCAGACACAGTTATTATTTTCGATTCCGATTGGAATCCTCATCAAGTAAGTTTATCATTCTTAATTATATTATTTATTAGGCTGTTCTTGTTCAGTTATTAAGAAGTTAAAGGTTAATTTGATTTGCATATATTTTATTATAAACCATTTTTTAATGAAAATGGCCTTCAGTATACTATTTTAAGAAAATACATTTATTCAGAATCAAGAGTTTTCGTCATTTTAGGATTTGCAAGCGCAAGACAGAGCCCACCGTATTGGACAGAAAAATGAGGTCCGTGTACTTCGATTAATGACAGTGAATTCTGTTGAAGAAAGAATATTAGCTGCTGCTAGGTACAAGCTAAATATGGACGAAAAAGTTATCCAAGCTGGAATGTTCGATCAAAAGTCGACAGGGTCAGAGCGCCAGCAATTCTTACAAAGTATCTTGCATCAGGATGATGCCGAAGATGAAGAAGAGAACGAAGTGCCAGATGATGAAACAGTGAATCAAATGATTGCCAGAACGGAAGGAGAATTTGAAATATTCCAGAAATTAGATCTTGAGAGGAGAAGAGAAGAAGCCAAATTGGGGCCGAACCGGAAATCTCGATTGTTAGAAGAAGCCGAATTACCCGATTGGCTCGTCAAAGATGACGACGAGGTTGAAAGATGGACGTACGAAGAGGATGAGGAGCGATTTTTGGGTAGAGGCTCTCGACAACGTAAAGAAGTTGATTATACCGATAGTCTTACCGAGAAAGAATGGCTAAAGGCTATTGACGACGATGGTGCAGAATATGAAGAAGAGGAAGAGGATGACAAGAAGAAGAAGAAGACGCGTAAACGCAAAAAGAAAGGGGAAGAAGACGATGAACCAACGCCGAAGAAACGAAGAGGCGCAGCAGCTATTGATCCAAAATTGAAGAGGAGTATGAAAAAATTGATTATGGTAGTCGTTAATTATACTGATAGTACAGATGGGAGATTGTTAAGTGAACCATTTATGAAGCTCCCATCTAGAAGAGAACTACCGGATTATTACGAAATCATAAAGAAACCTTTAACGATAAACAAACTTCTTCAAAAAATAGACGAAGGCAAAGTAAGTTATATCCTCCACTTGCTAAATAATCTTTTCTGCTTTTCAATATAAATTCTGAACTTATAACGATCTGTATTTGTAACTTATAGTATAATGATTTCGACGAACTCGAAAAGGATTTTATGCAGCTATGTAAGAACGCACAGATTTATAACGAAGAAGCATCTTTAATTCACGAGGATTCTATTGTGCTACAATCTGTCTTTGTTAATGCAAGGCAGCGTCTTGAGGCAGAAGGAAACAATTCCGAAGACGATAAGGGTATATTTATTTTGAACAGAATAAAAAAACATGGTATTATATTATTTTAACTTAATTTTTTACATGAATACTTTTTAATTACAGCCGAAGCCGAGGATGGATCGGACGCGGATTCTAGTGTTCGAATGAAGATCAAGCTCAAAGGCAAGAAGGGAGAAGGTAGGGGTGGACGCAGAAAAAGAGTAACGAAAAAGTATATTTCTGATGATGATGACGATGCCGATGATAACTGAAAGGCATAGAATATTATTTTTATAAAGTAATAGCTTAAACAATTAGCTTCTCCGTGACTTGCGCAGTTTTATTCTACGGTGAATGGGATATTGTTCGTGAGTTTTTTCATTGATGGTAGTTAGGGCGACTAAAAATGGCTATCACCATTATTAGCGAGTCGACACTGCCATGTGGAGGAAGAACAATGTTAATATCGCCCACGACTGAAAGCGATGTCAGTAATGATCATGTAATGAATTTTCAAATACTGTCAAGATTTCTTCTTTTTAATAATTGTTCTTTTTTTTTGTTAGTAAAGATCGTATACCAGCGATATGCACATGAAAATTCCACTATGTACAGTAAAATTTAGAACCAACCGCAATGCCGTGTGTAGTATCGCACTTGTTACTAGAGAAATCAAAAGAGCTTTACGAATGAACGAAGTTGGGTTGGTCAAGTATTCTTTTTACAGATTGGACAAAGCTGTTCCTTTTCTTCGCATTAACATCTCATTGACGTCTTTGTCATTGTGTGATTCACAATGAGGACGAAATAACATGTTTCTCGAATAATAGTGATATTATGTTTCGAGTTTCCTATTTCAATTTAATTCATGAATTTCTGACTATTTAGAAAAACTGTTGTCACTGCGTCATTGTTGAAATGCCGTGTTGAAATTAAATGAACAGTAGGTGGTTACAGTTAAGTATAATTGAATGTGCTATGTTCCACACTAAAGACATTATATCGAACATCTGTATTTCCGTAAATTTCTATACGGTATTCCCATATCAGTACTTGAGAGTTGGATGGCAGGTGTAAACGACGTTATTTAGCCAACACGGAAGGTCATCGAGGCTTTATTATTCGGATCATCGAACATTAGATTGATAAATCATCATTGAGTATTAACATAGATAGCAGTTTATATTATTATTAATTATTGTCGCTGTAATTATAGAAATGTTCTGGTAAGGTCAAGGGAGATTACCTGTGACTAGAAGATCAATTTAATGAGTTATGATCTAATCGCGTTTATTCTTAAGGACCCTTTCAATGCTGATGCGGAAAATCTGTATTTCACAAGGTTTCTCTTTAGAGTTACTTCTCTTGTACACGGAGAAATGGTTGGCGGTCATGCTTCGGCGGTAAAAGGTTCCGAAGTACCAATCGAATTCTCGAGTGTAAAGTGACCCGACGTGCGAATTTCTTTCGGAGTGATTCCGTGCACTCAGTCTCTTACATCAACATTGCAATGTATTGTAGTTTATACGTACACGCACTATATATAAGGGAATAAAGACCTGATAAGAGGAAAAATTTCTAATGTAGTAATAATATTACTTCCAAGGATAAGTGATTGCACTTTTTGTATAATTTCACCCTGTGATCATTTTATTCGTATCATTCATTAAAAAAATTGATGTTTGTTTGTAACTTTACACAATGATCATTTTATTCACAATTCACGAATATAACAAGAAAATTGTTAAATTATTTTTAGAAAATTCTTATTTTATCGGATTACACTTTCGAACTGTTAATTCAAGTTCCTATACAAGGCAAAGATTACGGTGAATGTTCGAATAGAGACTTATCACTATGCCTACCATGAGATTGTACCCACGTTTGATAAGTATTTAATCGTTCAAACCGTGTATCAGTTCCTACGAATCTTTGATTGTGTATCCTTTCTTTGAAAGCCAGTGATTTACTGGGATACGTAGCAGTCGTTGTCGGCTTGTAGAAATTTGTCCAATTTTTTATCAACGTGACAGCGTCAAATCCGTTACTGGGTTCGACGTTTTTCCGAAGTTTCGTGACATTTTCTTCTATGTAGAACGGCTACGAATAAAGTATACTCAATAATTATCGATCGATTTTTGAATATTTACTTAGAAATTTTGTTTACATTTACGAGAGCAGGATGATCTTCGGAATAGAGCGGTGTACTGAAAGAGTCCTTGAAAAAGCCTATAATAGTTAAGCAGATGAACCTAAAAATATTAATTACGTTATGTTAACAATATAAAAATCACTGAAACCTGCAAAATGTTCTAGTAACGAACGAGTTGGTGATTGAGGTTTCATGATACTAATTAAAGTAAGAAGATACAAAAATAGGTTAGGAAGTAAAACTTTTGTACACCGAAGTACTAATTATGAAAATCTTTGCTTTGTATTATATAGAATTTGCAATTAAAACAATCATGTGTCAATATTACCAGTTTCTAACTACCATGTTGCCTCGGATGTGATGAACTTCCAGTTTGTTGACTTTGGAATCTTGTTCCTCGACAGCCGCATCTAATATAGCTTTTGCTTTGACTTGAGAAACAGCGAGTGGTTTCTAAGCAGCAGATACCTCTCGATTTATTCGCTTGTTTGATACCGATTTAAAGTAATGAATCGACAACTGACAATTTATACAACAGCTGCTTAAGGGGGGAAACCACATCAGGATGTTGAAAAAAAACGGATTGTTTTTATTATATAAATTGTTAGTATAATTATTCGAGAATACGTTGCCAAAATTTCAAAGTGAAATTCGAACTCGTTTCGGTTTTATGAGCCTACAACTGAGGGCCCATTGAGTCAGTGCTCGGCCGCGCAGCAGGTAGGGTGGAGCTCTTGCTCAGGTAGTCACTCATTAAGGTGAAGTGAAACCTCCCTCAAATCAGTCGATTCGAATACAACACTTTTTTTTATGGGTATTACACCAAACTGTCCGAATCTTTGACACATCACTCCTGATCATCGAAGAATTGTCCTAACACGTTCAAAATTTGGATTTTTGGAAAAAATTTTTTAACTTAGCCCAGACCAAGCCCAAATGGCATCGAGCTCTCATATTTCGATCGATATACAATTATCAAAGGTTCTGATATGAGAAACAAAAGGGTCAGGACAATTTTACGACAATTTAGAACGCTCTGGTAATCGAGAAACTCGCATTTGAACGAGATAAAGTCAAAGAAAGTGTTGTATGCGCTTCTATGCTAAAACGATTGGAATACGAGGTCTCGGAGTGAAAATTTAATTGACCTGGAAATCACAGTTGGCGCAGGGGGGTCCCTCTGCAGTCAGTTAGGGCCCTAGAAAGTATGAATCCAGAGGATTTCAGGAGTTTTACTTCGATTTCTTGATATTTATTGTACTAAAACGACAGGAGGAGTTTGCCATTTGGTACAATACCCAATATAATTCGACTCAGCTGTCAATATAAAAACGAACGTCGGCAACGTAGGCATTTACAAAAATCTTTATCGACGTCGATCAAGCTCCTCGACGTGTTTCACTTCACCTTAACACTAGAACTACCGGCGGGTTTTTTTTGTATAGGATGGACCATTTGAAACCAGTCATTTTGACTGGTTTGGTAGTTCTAGTGTTAACTTAACTAGCCCAGTACCCTTGTATAATGAAAAACGAAGGATTATTATATGGTGCTGGAATCGCTGGTTGATCGGTAAGCACTGTAAATTATTGATAATTTTCTCAAATTTCTAGTTTTCGGACATTTTTCTTCAAACGTGTTTTTCTCGAATCGACTTTTTTTTTATTCGCGGGAATTCCAGCTCAAAAAATTATGAACCGATCGTAATGAAAATTGAAAGGGTGTTTCTTTATGAAATTACGAAGAACATGAACCTACATTTGGGATAATATCATAATTGGAAAATAAAAGAGAGAAATGGTGAGTCGATATTTTTGTCAAACACAATGGATAGTCGACATTTTTTTCAAACACCCGTCAATACTTCAATTTTTGCAATTTTCACTCGCAATGAGGTTCCTATTCTTCGCAAACATGTTAATAATGTAAAAAAAACAACTATTTTGCTTTGAGATAAAAATTGCGACCTCCACATTGTTCGGGAACAACGAACTCGGACGACAACCTTCGGTAGACAGCCCATAATTCCGACATTTTCGTCAAAATTGACTTGAAAAAATTTGTAAATGTAATTCAAAATATCAATAACATAATGTCAAAGTTAGATCAAATTCCAATTAATTTTTCACCCTCAAAAAAAGTCATAAAAAACGGCTGAAAATCAGCCTCCTAATGTGGTTCTCCCCCTTAAATGTCATTGGAACTTTATACTCTTTTATTATTTTGTTTACTACAAATTGAAAACTGGTTGACACAATATCCGGCGCGTTTCGTAGATCTCTAACAGTTAAAAAATGCAAAAAGAAAACAGTTATTTGTTCAGTTTTAATTGCTTTATGGAATCCGTGCGTCGACAACGCTGTTTTTTTAATAAACATTGGTTTTTGATGAAACGAATTATTAAATGCAATGCATCAGGGACCCGTTTCTCGAGTTCGTAAGGATTTTTTTTCGTATACGAATAGATACGCATGAAAAATTTCGCACTGTTGTGAAGTCGCGTCAGTGGTCAATGTTGAATGTCGTATACAAAATTGTCATTTTCACCTGCGAAAGTTGATAATATCGTATACGAAATTGTCAATTTCACCTGCGAAAGTTGATAATGTCGTATACGAAATTGTCAATTTTACCTGTGAATGTTGATCGAATGAACTCGAGAATCGAGTCCCAGATGTCGTCTGCATCCGAAACGGAGGCGTGGTTCTTTGTGAATGATTTAATTACTCCTCTGTTCGTGTGGTTTTTTAGCCACCCCGTCCCGTGCAGTATTGGCTCTCCGTGAAGATCTCAGAGGTAGAAATTTTATTTCTGGTCACGTTAATTTCCCGAGTGCATTTGAAAACGCCGTCCCGAGGGCGGAGTTCCTATGGTGAAGCGGGTCCTGGGTCCTGTCGTTTCTGCGTCAGCTTGAGCTACGGAAGCATGCATGAGCTGAATCCACCGAGAGCTTATCTGTAATTCAGCCGAAAAGATTATTCGAGCTGAAAACAGTTTTCGAGAGAATCCAGACGGAGAGTCGGATGCCTCGCTAATTTCGTTAAGGTCGCAATGGTACGTACCGACTTTCGCGTGAAAAGCTTCAAGTGGGGAAACAGAGGAAACGAAACGTTTATCCTTCCGGGTGGAATGTTGACTGAATCGAAGCACGATGAAACCGATGAAGAAATAACGCCAGATGTCGTTCCGAAAAGTTGCCCTTCCTTCCTGTTCTGCCCGTCCAGTTTGTCGGGCAGTTGTATGAATCCCGATTGTTTTTCCAAACAGAATTGCAAAATGGGATCTTCATATAACTGTTCACGTGAAGAAGAAACGTACTCGAATGAAGTGAGACTTGTCTCGAACAAAACAAAACCTGAATTTATTATAACATTAATTTAACGAATGGCTTGTTCAATTATGTCAGCTCTTCACGCGTGAATACCGATAATAGATGCAGAAGCGATGGCGAAGGCTGACGAGAGACTAACTTACAGAAAAAATATAATATTCCTCCTCCTGTCGCATTACATTTTTTTGAGGAGGAGGTAGCATATTTATTTTAAGGGCGCTCACCACTCCAGCGATTTTGCAGGGCCTCACGGGGACAACGATTCCGAATGTATTTCTAAACCGATCGAGCTTAACGAGTGGTCATATCGAAGATGAAATGTTGACCTGTGTTTATATGGGAGCGATTTTCGATAAGTGGTCATTTTCATATAAAAAAGTGCAACGACATAATTTCAATGCCCTTTTAACTAGGAAGGAGGTGCTTGATCGAAAATCGCTTCCATATAAACACACGTCAACGTTTTATCTTTAAAACGAGCACTCGTTGAGTTCAATAGGTTGAGAAATACGCTCAAAATCGTTGTCCCCATGGAGCACCTTTTTCCGGATTTTCGAGTTTCTCGCAAGGAATTTGTGCATTCCTTAGCAGCCGTTGCCGACTCTAGGCGGAGCGTCCAACTGGCGTGTGCGTGCGGCCGGGGGTCACACACATTTTGGCGCCTAGTCCAGAGGCGTCTAGCCGTTGCGTGAGTCCTATACGTGCAAAATACGCACACATTTTTCGCCCGTTCCTAACACCTCCCATTATGCGTCGCGTCTCCCTCATCTGAGCGAGAAAGTACGTTTTGATTACCTCCCACCGAATTCGATGCTAATGCTATCTAGCGATGGAAGTCATCGTCCCCACTTTGGTGGTGAACGCCGTTAATCGTTTGCGTACCAGAGGTTTTTAAAACAACATGGTCGAAAAAAGCCGAGCAGCGCAATAGCACTTTCTGAATGGGATGCGAAAAGATCCAAGCGGCGCGATAGCGCTCCTTTTATTCTGTGTCGAAAAATTCGTCTGAAAATGCGCCTGGAAAGTTGAGCGCGTTTCGTCAGATTATGAGTGCGCGGTCAATTGTCCGTATCGTTCAAATGCACTGGGTTT